TTATTTGATTAATATATAAATTACGAAGAGATAACATGGACTTATCGAAATTGTAAAGTGTACCCACAGCATTGAAGGGAAGATGTGTGAGAAAGGTTCCATCCACATATGGATAAAGGGTCTGTCCTGAACCATGGTCTGTAATACTGTATGGGTCCAAGTTTTGCATACATTCTACCAGGCCCGCATTGTCAAGTTCCACACATTCTGGTCAAACACTTTACAATATAAACAACCTAAGTCGCACAGGATGATACAAACACGAGGATTAGGGACCAATGATTAATTTTCTTTAATTTCTTAAATTGTTTTTGTAGGTCATCGTGATACATGTTAAAATTAGAAAAACAGTGACATAGAAAAATGTTTGTAAACACTGTAACTATTATCACAATCTAAAACTATAATAGCATGTAGCATTTCGAGCATACTGCTGTCATCCCGCATTATTTTGAAACTTATAATAATCCCACCTAAAGCTGCAGCAACAACCAAACTCTTTTCGACCTCCTCATCTCTCGTGTTAACTCTCGCTACAGCTGTTGCAACTCCACTGTTGCAGATGGCTCGCTGGAATAAGCCTGCATTTGTTGGTGACAAAATCTGGGTAGAAACACTGACTCCACCTACATGTAAAGCAAAAGAGAATGGAGATACTGGTTTTGTAATCTCTTCTTCTTATTAGATTAGTCAGGGATCAGTTTAGAAAAAGGTAGAATCAAAACATTGTTTCAATTTTAGAATACCATCCCTTGTTATTTCTATTATTAAATCTCCCAAATGAATATGTACATTTATTCCAGGAAAAGTAATTTTTATTACATTTGTCTATAAATATGAACACGGAAATGAATATGTATTATTTGCACTTTGAATCTTAATTATACTCAACATTTGATAAGATGATATCACTGATAGTTATGGAAATAAATTGTTTCAGATAATATATCTAAGAAGGAAGTAATACAGAGGCAGATCTGTATAGAGTCTCTCAAGCGTTAGGTAAAGAAGATCTCTGAAAAATCAGAATGCCATGACTCAATAGGTATGATGTTGCTTTAAACTTTTAGAGATAAACAAAGGCCGACTCTTATTCGACTCCTATAATTTACCTCAGCCAAAATGCTACTGAGTCATATCCCAAGATATAACCATGTGTAGAAGAGTACTAATGTGAATTTATAACTGCAAAATCTTACCCCCACTACCTCCCATGATTGTGATCCTGTCGGGGTCTCCTCCAAACCTCTGAATGTGTTGCTTCACCCATTGTATCGCCATCTGCTGGTCGAGGAGCCCATTGTTACCAGGGGCATTGCTGTCGCCAGTCGTAAAGAACCCTAATTATGAAAACATGATGACCAAAGAGAACTGATAATTAAACCCAAGCCAAGCAGCCTGTCAAAGACAGAGTGGGATAAAGAGATTTCCTAGCTCATTTTATCACGGCAATGTATAGGCTGCTGAGATTAAACATTTTCTTAACACACTTTATCCCAGTGGTACAGAGGGTGTTGGGATAACAGACTTTCACAATCATTTTATCCCTGCGTTTTTACAAAAATACTAGGATAAAGTGATTTGAAAAGTCTGTAAATCGCAGTGCAACATACGATTTTTTGCGCCGGAATAAAAGTTTGAGAAAAAGATAAAAGCTGAAGTATTTATTTGAAATCATGTATTGGCTATATTTGTGAAATTAAAATTAGATTGTATCAGGTCATTACAACCTCTCTATATATTCTCTTCTTCTTCTTCTTCTTCTATGCAATGCCATCTTAACATATTGACATTTTCAAAGAAATTGCTGAGTGGATAAATGATATTTTCTTGTACTCATTTAGGCTTACCCATCTGCCACTTACCCAAAGGTCCAAGCCTATAGTTCATTGTCACAAAAACGACATCATTCATGCGAGTCAAAGCGATGGCATTCCTATTGCCAGAACCTAAAATGACATCACCAGGGGAGGTCAAAATAAAAGGTTGCAAATAATGATTAGAGGCCAAAGGAAGAGGCACATCAAACCATTCTTTTAAAACATTAAAATGTGCAACCATCAAATTCAACCATTGGTGACTGGTTGTATTTTTTCCATTCTATTAAGTAGCAAGCTTACCTGCTGTAAGTCCCCCACCGTGGATGTTAACCATAACAGCGAGTCTAGAAGAGGAATCAAGGGTAGGTGTGTGGATGTTCAGGTAAAGACAGTCCTCGGACATGTTTGTGTAATCACGGTTCTGATGACACCGGTCACCTGGAACCCAAGCAATCATTCAACTAACACTTCCCAAGTAAATGTCACTGCATTGCTAATGATTAGTATAGTGACACGGTCAGTTTTAATGGGCCCGGACTCATGTTTTAGGAATGATTCTTCCCACATGTTTATACCTCTTTCTTTTTGCATTACTCTGAACACTGACCTAATTGCAACACTCCTTTAACATCACAATTATCAATAACAAAAATAAAAAATTGGGGTTGATCCTCTGGGTCACTGGCTTAAATATTACACACAACGCAACATTGTCTGTGGCATATATGACATAACTTCTGCTTCTGGTATGGAATAGTAATGTGATTAGACTACCATGTGGATCATGATGCCTTGATGGTCTGGATATCATCTTCAAATCGAATTAGTACTATTGTTCTTTACCGTATCCTAATGCACTCCTTTCTCCATCCCATATAGGTAGCATTCGAGGGGGTTGAAATCGCATGGTCCCAGTTGGTGGGTAGGCATATGGTATACCCTTGAAGGCGTATATAGGTCGAGGATCATCCAATAGGTAGTTTTCCTCTCCTCTAACCGACCCCGTCTCTGTGATCCATATGACTGCATTTTGTCCAGAAACGCCTAAAGTGATAGAACACATGCATGAAATGGGCCTGGCTGATCGGTTTGACACCTGTGTTTCATCTTTAATTTTACTTCTAATCTGTTTTCTATATTCGGATTCATTTATTTTCATCTTTCAAGCGCTTAATATAGATATTAAGAAAATTGCTGGGTTGATAAAACTACCAACAATGACCATACGATAAAACCCATACTTACACCCCAGTAGTGTACAAATCAACACACTCCGAAATATCAGATTAGAAAGGGGTGTCATATTCAGACAATGTGCTTCTCGTCGAATAACATTGCAATTGACCCATAATGTGACATTGGACTGCGATAACAACAATAAACATCGTGGGATTTTTTCTTTCAAAAAAGAAGTATTAAACACATGTTAACAATTAATACTTTGACAGTTTACTGCAGAGCAACGTATTCGTATCAAACAACGACAATTAACATAGTTTTGTAATTGAATTGGTGTTTTATATTGCTGTTCATTGTTTTCTTTTGTGAATCAGCGGTCATAGTTGACAAGCTAACTGCAGAGTTACGTATTGTATTGTATTGTATTGTATTTTGTTTACCACCAATGAAGGTGAGCAATACCTCTTGGGTATGTCCCGTATATATACGGTCGTAATTTACGTAGTTAACATGGAAGATAGACCCAGAAACCCCTCCTTGAAGGAGCCCTGTGTTCTTTTATGTGCACTTATACATAGACATATAAGTACACACCACAGCCTTTTTGTACGAGTTGCGGACCACTCAGTCAAACACCCTGAAGTACTTCACGCAAACAAGCAAATTTAGTCTTGCCTGAACCGGGGATTGAATCCGGGACCTATTGCGTAAGAGGTACCTGCGCTACCGCTGAGCTACACGCTACATATTGAACTTAACGACATATAAAATAGATTATTTAATTATAGTGTTTTGTATTGCTGTTCAATGTTTTCCTTGGTGAACCAGCGGTCACAGTTGACAAGCTAACTGCAAAGCAACGTTTTCATATTTAACTTAACAACACATAACATTAGTTTCTTAAATGAATTGTTGTTTTATATTGCTGTTCATTGTTTTCTTTTGTGAACCAGCGGTCATAGTTGACAAGCTAACTGCAAAGCAACGTATTCATGTTGAACTTAACAACACATAACATTAGTTTCTTAAATGAATTGTTGTTTTATATTGCTGTTCATTGTTTTCTTTTGTGAACCAGCGGTCATAGTTGACAAGCTAACTGCAAAGCAACGTATTCATGTTGAACTTAACAACACATAACATTAGTTTCTTAAATGAATTGGTGTTTTATATTGCTGTTCATTGTTTTCTTTTGTGAACCAGCGGTCATAGTTGACAAGCTAACTGCAAAGCAACGTATTCATGTTGAACTTAACAACACATAACATTAGTTTCTTAAATGAATTGGTGTTTTATATTGCTGTTCATTGTTTTCTTTTGTGAACCAGCGGTCATAGTTGACAAGCTAACTCCAGAGCAACATATAACATAGTTTCTTAATTGGATTGGTGTTTTGTATTGTTGTTCATTGTTTTCTTTGGTGAACCAGCGATCATAGTTGAAATTATCCAGGTGTAGTAATATGTCAGCTTTGTGTAGACACCTGGTGACATTTCCCGTCCACACCCACGTCCCCAACTTGTCAATCCCGTTAACATCCAATGGCCCTTGTAGGAACAACTGTAGCCACCTCCCGAGTCACCCTGAAACGAGAAAGCGTAAAAGTTCGGACGTCTTTCTACTGAGAAAATGAGGATTTCAGCAAGAATGTCATTGACTTAACGTGGTCCATTGACTTCATCCTGCACATCTACTATAGACGCTATAAGGCTTTTTGACATTCTAGTTTTTATTAGTACTAATAAGTGAGCCGCATATGGCACTGTGAAACTGTAATGTCAATTAAATTATTCATTGTAGATCATTCTCCGATCACTGAGCTCCTCGGTCCACGGTTTTTCTTTTCTAAGAAGCAACGAGGTTTAGATTACAAGTATGTTCAGAAGATGTAACTGATTTTATGAAATACCTGACACGTATCAACACTTCCATCTTTCTTTCCTGCACAAAACATTGTTTTCTTAATCTGACCAGCATACCAATCATCCCTATTGCAAACTGAATGTCGAATCGTTGGCATGGTAACCTGTCTGAGCTTGTTGCTATGTGCACTAGTCATTGCTGAAATATTAATTCACTATATATCCATTGTATAATCTTATTTGATATGATGATTAAATACATTTCAGGTATGATAAATAATCAGGACTTACATATCCGGCCCCATCCAATAGCTGTACAATTGTACGTTTTTGAGATCTTACCGACGTTTCTCTTCAGTATATCTTTGTAAGGTAGACATATCGGGGATATTGTGTCTGTATAATTCACAGAAGCACCGATTTTGAATAATGCGATATCATTTTCAAACGATGAGTAGTCGTAGTTTTCATGTAAGATTATCTCCAATACACGTGCTTTCATTGTGTTGTTTTCAACCTTGTTTGCTAGATCATGTTTTCCTAAGAGGATTGTCCATTTATTTGGATCATCGAAATTGTAGACGACGAAACCCCAGTGCAATCTAAGTTGATTTGGTATTCGATTAAAGAAGTATATATAACTAATTATGTACATAGTTGAAAAACAATGTCACTTGACTTTTTGCTCGTTATAAAATCATAGTAACTACGGGAAAAGAGATATACTTTGATATTTATTGAGAAATAATCTGCTGTACCCTTTAACACAATGTGCAGCTGTGAGGATCCATTTTGGATGGATAATACTTCCACCACACTGTATCTCACCATCATGTAGCATAGCCACAGCCCAGGGCCAACTGTGTGGTTTTGCTTCCTTACCCCCGAGAATCCTTGAACTAATTGCAGGAATACCACAACCAGAGATAACTACTGGTACTGAAAAATGGTAAATTTCCCCAAATCAATTACGTATTATAACTAATTTGTTTAATATGTAATAACAAGAGAAACGTGGATAAGAAAATTAAAAAATAATTACTCATGCAAGTCAATGGAAAATCACACTTCATCACCACTTTCTTATAAAGAGTACTACTGGTAGATCTCCCCACTCTTTCCACTGGTAGCCAAAGAGAATTTATATCAGTACATCTAATTTCTGAAAGATGTAAATGTATTAATTGTTTAATCATCCAATATGGTACTAATGCTATTATTGAGATAATTAATATTTTTCTTACTTACTGGAACAGATGGGAACTTTGCTATCCCATGTTTGATTTGCTTGACATCTTAATGTACTCGCTCCAGATAGTTTGTAACATTGATGGCACACATACTCGACGATACTGCCCTCTATGTATCTGTCTTGTACCCGACGAGCTTTTCCATTAGGTATGGTTCTAGGTATGTCTTGACAAGTTGCATTTCCTTTCAAAGTACAAGTAGGAAAATGTGAACAGTTCGCTAATTCAGTTTTGATTTTTTAAACTTTGGATCCAAAGTTAAATATACACTTTTATTTTAAGCAACCATGTTCCCATCCTCTCATTTTAACACGTGAATGTACATAATTTGCATAAAATCTTTGAATATCTAAATTTCTTGTAAGAATGTTTCGATTACAAAAATGTTTGAATTGAAATGTAAATTTACCACTGCTATTTCATGAGGATATATATATAAAATTAGGCCCGTACCGAGGGGGGAGGGTGTTCGAGGGGCTCGAACATGAGGCCCTCCCTAGGAATACACATATGAAGCAGTGATAAAATCAAAAACAACTCTTCCAAAGCAAAAAACAGAGGGTATCACTATGGCGGATCCGGGGGGGGGGGGCCCATGGGGCCCGGGCCCCCCCCCCCTAAGGTTGGCCCAAAAAAAAAAGAAGTTGGGCCCAAAAAAATTTTAGGCCAAAAAAGGCCTTAAGGCCCCAAAAAGTGGGCCTTTTGGTCATTATTGGGCCTTCAAAGGCCTTATTTTTTCAATTTGGGCCAAATTTGGAAGAAAATGGGCCTCAAATTTTCAAAATTTGGGCCCACTTTTTCGGTTTTAGGGGCCCAAAATTTTTTTCCGCGCAAGCGCGGAGCGTTTTGCTATATTATCAAATTTGGGCCCCCCCCCTTGTTGGTTCCTGGATCCGCCACTGTATCAGAAGGATAACCCATTAACTGTGAATTTACTCAGACATATCGGTTTTTGGGAACTCCATCTTCCTCTGTCATCACAATCAACAACAGCGTCTCCTTGTAGGATGAAACCAGCTTCACAAACGTATATCAATGAATCACCACATGCTAGTGAAGACTGACCTCCCGAAAGGAAATTAAGCACCCTTCCATTTTCAACTAATAGCATATCTTTCAACTGGCATATATATCCTGAAAGCCATTAAAAACATGTAAAAAATTATAGAGTGTAGAAACTATAATGGACTGATTTGATTTACTTTAATTAATGCACTAGTCTATGTTCTTTTCAAAATTACTCAATATACTTACTTGAACAGCTAGGTGGGTTAAACGGATTCCACCCGCCTTGAATACAACGGTAAATTCTCTCTCCAATTAGTTGATAACAAAAATTACATTTGTACTCGACACTATCCCCAATATTATATCTGGAATTCAGTCCAATAATATCACCATGTGCTATACTCGTTGGACTCCCTAGACACATACTTACTGGAAAAAATCTAATATTGCATGATACAACGTCTCATTAGTTGTGTTTATGGGTGTAGCTCATTGTGGGACCCATAATCTCTACTATCCCTTGGGTAGCTTTAGATAGAGAGCGACTCTGAATATTAGAATAGGTTAAGCTGAGTTAATCTGAGTTAAACTTCATTTAGATCCTGGTCACTCACATTTGCAAGTTGGTAAAATGTAACTCCATGTTATGTTGCGCAAACACGTCAACAAAGGGATGCCCTCTATTGTAAAGCCATTTTCACAATCGAATATTACTCTATCATTCACCATGTTTCCAATAAGTTTACCCTTTAGAACAACTAGTTTAGAGTCATCTGGTAGTATTATGTGTGGACATGGTGTGGTATATTCTAAAGAAATAAGAAACAACCTCTCATAAATATAAATGGTGTTAATATACAAGAAATATACTCGTATATCCATTAAAACTGGTGCACTTGGCCTGTTCAGAACACTGTAATTCAAATTATTATAAAAAGCATACTTAAACATATTGGTAGTTCTTTACTCCAAGTCCCATCTTCTAAACATACTCTTCGTTTTACACCCCATCGGAAATACTTTGGTAAACATGTAATACTGACGATATCACCAATTCTATTCCCAACTAGCTTCCCGTGTACAATCTTGCCATACCTTGGCATAACAAGGTCAGGGCAATCACCAGTATTAGCAGCTGGAAAAGAGTGAAATGAAATGGCACCTCTACAATTACACGATTATCTCATTTATGTCAATGAAATGGGATACCATCTTACCTAAACATTCTGGTACGGGTTGATCCCAAACTACTCCACTATCGAGATTCATATGGCTTCCGTGGATTGTCATCAGGTGCTGCTCTACACAAGAGATGTTAGGATTTCCATTCATAGCATAGCTTTCTTCACAGGAAAACCCGATTCTGTCTCCATCTGTATTGTTCATCAACTGTCCTTCCAGAATAATTGCATGTTCAGGAAGTGTAATATTTGTACACATGTTACTTGCCTCTAAAAAGCATGAAATAATCAAACATATTGGACGGGAAGTTATGTGATGGTATATTTCGGATACACGGTTGGTTCGAAGGAACTGCGGCTGAGACATTTACCTACACATGTTGGAACAATACCCCCACCACTCCAAAAGCCATCGGGGGTGCAAAATAGTACATTTTCTCCCATCATTATGAACCCTTTCTTACACATAAATTCAATACTGTCACGGTTTCCATTGTCAAAAGGCTGTCCAGCTACTATTAGGAGATAAGGGTCCAAAATGGCTAGGTTTGGACAACTAACAACTATGACTGAAATATATATATATATATCGCATCATTAGCAGATTTAAATGCTTTTTACTGTTTAAGGTCATCAATATTTTTATATTACTGTATGAACTAATAATCAAGGCAACACCAACAAATTCAATTTACTGTTTTACTGGAAAAGCTGTGTCGAAATCATTCAATATGCATTCGTTTATTTGTGTACATAGATGATATCACCACCTGCACCCTTATTTCGAAATGTAAATAAAGTCTACTTACGAGTGCATCGTGGTACAGGTGAACTCCACGTTCCTTCATTGCAACTTAGTTTCATAGGATCATTAGAATGATATCCTAACGCACATCCAAAAAGCACAGAATCCCCGTCTCTATTTGCTGATAACCCATATCCAGGTCTAACGTAGACATATCTATCTAATACCACGAGGTCCTGGCAAACTGGCCTCTCTTAAATAATGTGTTATTTTGAAGATAAAATGTATTCAAACATGTAGTGCATTACACATACCTTTTAAAATCCAACTATACGGATAGACCGTTAGTCAACACAACAAAAGTTTATTAACAAGTTGTATATGTTACATTTAGTCAATGAGGTGATTTTTCTATGAGCTTTAGAGTTGATTGTCCGAGTGTCCGCCACAAAACCAAGTACTGGATAATGCTTCTACTAAAGGTCCACATTGGACTATGTTTCACTTATTTCACAACCACTTGGAAAATGAGGATTTGAACAAGGATATATTAACTTAACATGGGGATAGGCACTGTCGACTTAACATGGGGATATCATCATATTCCTGGGTCATCATAGATATTTATTTGGCTTAAGTTTTTGTCACCTTTTTCGTACATGTCACATTAGTTCTTCCAAGCATTGGACAGTGTTTTTTATTAAAATGTAGGGACAGTGAACCATTGCGCCTTGCTGAATTTTTACTATTACAGACATTTACACCCTGTGGGGACCATATTTCTAACATATATTTTTAACTATATTCTCTTATTAATCAAAAGTAGTTATACTAATAAAAATAAATTTATGTCATACATGAAAAGCAGTTAAGTGGTATAAAGTCAAAAAATATTTTTATAAGGGCTACCTTATCTCACCCCCATTTTAGAGGCAACGACCCCTGTTGCAATCACAAGGAAATATATTTTATTTTCAAGGGAAGTTAGTATTTTCAAACAGTAAATCCATTTATTTGTGGCGCAATGCCGGACAACGAAATTTTTATGTTCGACCAGTTCATGGACTAGTTAGTACATGTACCTGTACACTCGGGTATTGGATGATTCCATGAACCATCTTGTAGACAAAGTAAACGATGTTTTCCTTCTATGTTGTATCCACTATCACATCCAAATTTGACAAAATTGTTATGAGCGTTGTTCTTTGGGTTGCCATCTACTATTTGTAGTTTGCTAGTATTAGATATCTTGATGTCAGGACATGTGACATTTGATCCTAGATGTGAATGTTATTGATGTCATACAAGTGTATGTTTTAGTCATATGCAACATGTTAATGGATCAAGACGAAGGGTGGTTTTAACCGTATTGTAATGTAAGTTAAAAACTGTCTGTGATTGCGTTGGATCTGCGAAACCTGGCTTGAGATATTATTCGAATCATTTTTTTTTTCATGTGTACAATACGTGCGGAAAAGATCCTTTTGAATATGTTTTGTTCTTTAATATTATAAGTTATTGGATGATTTGAAGTGCAATACAGGATATATTCTGCTCGAGAAATTCCGTATTGGAACGAGACGAAGTCGAGTGCCAATACAGAATATCGAGAGCATCGTGTGATCCTCTGTATTGCGACTGAGAATGTCCCATCCGTAGCAATATTTTCTGTATTGCGACGGAGATGATCAATGGGGACAATCTCAGTGGCAATACAGACTGGTACAGCACAAGAACAGACCAATCAGAAGGCTTCAAATACGGGATATCGGTATCATTGGACAAAGGACAAATCTACCATAACGATTTCGTCCAAATATCAAAATATGTTTCCTCCATAAGTCTGCAATGAATTGCCATTACTTGCGACCAATATTAAAAAGGTCTCATTAGACTTTACGATACGTTTTTTTGGATCAAGAAAAGGCTTACTTTCACAGAATGGCAACTGATTGTTCCAGGTTCCATCCGCCAAGCACGTTAATTTTAAAGAACTTGTGGGCGAGAGGCCCCTTAGACAACCAAATAATATAATATCACCAACACGGTTGTTGTTAATACTGCCTCCTCTCAAATAAACTGTTTTCAATGGTTGGCTTATATCAGGACATTGCACAGTGTTGTTTCGGTTTGAGAGTTCTGAAATATTGAATGTTTTAAGAATGTTTTATTTCACGATTCAAAAACATTTGCGTTTTCTGTTCAATACCATGGGCTTTCAACTAGTTGAAAGTCAATGTCAATACCTAGTTGACATTCGTAGTTTGACATTATGACACGGATTCTGATAAAATGGTTGTTCAATCTTGTTATGAGAAGTATTGTATATGTTAATCTTACTTTTGCATTCAGCAACTACTTTTCCAGACCACAGTCGATTTGATTTGCACGTATGTCTGTAGAGATTAACAGGTGAATATCCTTTCAAACAACTAACTACAACAGTATCTCCACAAGCATTGTGACTGCTTGATATTTGTGCATTGGCTGGAACCTGAAGTATTTGACACCAATTCTCCTTTCCTATGGATAGCAATGTGATAAAAGCAGAGTACTTGTATACTAGTATTCTATTATATCATGTTTTATAAAATATATATACATCAATATTAGGCCTAACGGATTTACTTTTATTGGACGAAATTGAAGCATACTGTTTCATGGGTAACTCATTTAGATATGAATAGTACCTGCCACTATTCCATTTATATTTAAATGAGTTGGCCATAAAATATTTAGTTAGTCCGGTAGCCGGCAGGCTTTAGTTGCATTCGCGAATACAAGATTAGAGTCTATACTAGCCAAGAAGAAAAAAATAATCAGATTGACTCTTTCAAACCACTCCCACCGTCCCGGTGATCCAGGGGGTATTGAGGATATATTGAATAGTCTATCAAAGAGCGTACCATATTGTAATTTGTGTGTCTGTAAAAACTGAAATGCATATTGAAACTAACAAGGTGTACACACACATTTAATTCTAAAAACCTCCAATCGAATGAAGTTACCAAATTCCCAAAGTTGCGTTTACACTGCTCCACGACTAGTTACTTTGACGGAACGTCAATGTAACAAAATGGATGAACTTCCTGGTAACGAGTTTTTTGTTTTCTCGATTTAAACCTAGTCAAGTTGCATATAATAAAAAGCACAAAGCTAGAAAATAAAGTGTAGTTTTAAGTTTCTTCGATTTGGAATTTCTTTTTGTGAATGAAGTTGCAATTCATATATTTAGCCCCTCGCTTTTGTTGACGTCCGTTATATTACCGATGTATGTTACTTTGACGACTCACGTCAATGTAACAAAAGCGATGGTCTAAATGCATGAATTACAGCTTTATTTAAAAAATCAAATTCCAAACCGAGAGCATTCTAAAAGCTAGACTATATTGTCTAACTTTGTGTCAAATGATAATCCGAACATGACTTACACGTAAGTTTAAATCGAGAAAACAAAATACTTGTATACATTTTGTTACATTGACGTTCCGTCAAAATAATTAGTTGTGGAACAGTGGTTTCGTGGATTCGTTCATATTTGAGGATTGAGGATTGAGCATTGGTAATTTGAGAAAGAATATGTGACCTGGCGCGGCTATTCTATACAAATTACACATACTTACTGCGGCAGTGGGAACTGTTTTGTGACACCCATACACCATCAATGCAAGCTATATGTGCAGGACCTTGGATGGTATAACAAGGTAGACATTTAAATGTGGCTATACAGCTTGTTGTGAAATTAATGCACTTTACACTGACACTTCCATCATTTAAACTTAGTTCCCCTGCACATCCATCGGCTGTTGTATTTTCACTTATCTGTATCATAACAAAGGTATCACCTGATCACTTGTGACAAATAAAAACAAAAAGGAAATCTTTGTGATTAAGCTTGTATTCGCGAATGCAACTTTCGGCTAGCAACTGCCGGGTAGATTGCAATTTGTTGGTAAACTCATCTAGATATGAATATAGTATCTGTATAGCCTTGTATTCCGGTAGCTGCAAGCTATCGCGTCAAACCCAATCGCTGCAACCTAAATAACGGGTTAATCTGTCTTTTGTTTTAATAGCGAGTAACAATGAACTACGATCTGTTCGCTAATTCAACCGAGCTACTTGATGGCGTGAACAAGTTGACGGCAGCCGATAGACGACAGCCAAACGTATTAATACTCACAACTACTCTACTTCCTAGGCAGATTAGAAACGCCAGGTATATCATCATCCCTGCATATATTCGAAGGACTATTTATCATCTCAACAATATAGTGTAAAATAATGCAACTGCTCAAATAAAATGATACGGAACAATGCATTTCATTACATATTAGTTTTATTGAATAGCATATTATTAGCATCACATGGAATACGTTGTTCATTGCTTGTATGTATTAAGACATTAACCTTGAATTGGAAATTTCACAAGTCATGATTTTTACCTTCCCTGATCGCTTGTGGTATTAGTATATAAAAAACATCATGGCTCTTTTATGAGCAAAATTATAAACTTGTTGAAAATGCTAAAAATACAAATGTTGTAATAATTTCTAAGAATCAAATCATTTTTGCATGATTGAGAACAAATCAAGACTAGAGACTCATTAAATTGTAGGGGAGTCTGGTTTAAAAGTTTTAGTCGCTAAATTGTCAAGAAATTTTCTCTAGGTTCTTATTCAAGTTCACGACATCCAAAAGTTAAGTTAGGGATAGAATAAGTATTGGGTTTTAGGCAAGGCCGAGGCTATTAATTATCCTAAGACCCGATAAGAATGGTTCATCTTACCTAAATCACATACCGGGCACTGACTCTTATGAAACCTAAATGGTCGTCCATGATCCAATTTAAGGCACATTCGACAGGGCATGTACAGTTTAAAGTTTGATTTGTGTTAACTATTCAATTATTGAAAGAGTGAATATGGTATAATTAGTTCAGCTTTAATGCCATGCATGAGACAGTCACTCGTCTTTTGTACCAAACTGGTTTTGGATAGCTTGCAAAGTGTACATCCTTTAAAAGTAATAGAGAATGAATGCACTTCTCTTTGTCTCAGGCTGATATTCGTGGACAGCTGAATAATAGTCACCTTTGAAACACGAAAATACTTTTGTTCTCTAACTATGTCATACATCATTATCATACTTCCGTGCAAGTATTGGAGCGCTGAAGTACTTCCTTTTCGATCAAGAATTGTTAGTCGAGTTAATGTTTTTTCTGCCAAATTCCAATATGGCGTTTTCTGCGCCGACATTTTCGTAAATCTCCGGAGGTTGTCCGAACCTAACTCATTCTCAAAATTCATTTCGTTCGTTGCGTATCTCGCTCTTAGCAAACCGCCATATTGGAAATGGGTCGAAATAGCATTCACTCGATTCAAACAATTTACAAATCTTGGTCGAAAAAGAAGTATTTCAGCGCTCCAATACTTGCACGGATTGATGATACTGATGTAAGACACAGTTAGAGACCAAAAGTAAGATGCGGATCTCATCATTCATGTCTTAAAGGTCACTATTATTCAGCTGTCCAAGTGCGCCGTGGGAAAGCTTTTATATCAAAATCTCTTTTATATCAAAGTCTACATAGCTTTCGCAGAAAGTAAACCTATACATCCATCTTGCACTGTGACATGCAACCGACCTGATAGCCGTTCATTTTAACATTAATGTCAATATTTAATGCGAGGCATGCTGCTCTTCATAATTGTCAGAGATTTATTCATCAATTTGTTTCATCCAACACCCTACATCACGTAAATAAATGACTACAATTAGGCCCGACAGTAATTTAAGAATTTGTTTTCGGCATCCAGAAGGTGGTCCTTATTTTTTGCAAAGAGAGATATCGCAGTGATCAATGTGCCGTTCTCTGTAGCTTGTGCCGCAAGAATTATTACTATGCTATCCTTAATTTTGTTCCAGCAATCTGCTCTTGATATCAGATCCTCAACTGTGATTTTAAATTTGAATGATTCATTATACATCGATACAGGAAACCATTTATCAGCCATACCTTCCATTATGGACATATGTTGGTTGGATCCCCCGAGTCTTGGATTTATATCGACTAGGAAGAGCTCTCTATTCCGGGTTTCCATAATGTCACAACTAAAGTAACCGAAGTAGCCCATCTCGTGAAGTTTTTGTAATACCGGTTGACAGAATTTTATTAGACGAAGATTCGTGGGATCAATTCCTGGTGAACTATAGTAAATAGCCCCAGACCAGCAATTTGTTGAGCCCCTGAAAAATGGAAAGGAGATACAGCCGAGATTGACAGATCCGTCTTTGCGTAAGTATGCCTGGATTCCCCGATCAGCTATAATATCAGTTAAAAGTTCTTGATAGATCAGCTCTTTTTTCCAACCTTGTTTCATGACCCATTCTTCATATTCATAAATTTCTCGGTCGGTTGTCGCAATCTTTACACCATCCCGACCTTGAGCGACTGGAACTTTGATCACACAGGGAGCCTTTGCCTCTTTTTTATTCATGCCTCTTGGTTGTTTGATTCTAATTTTTGGGATAAAGGCCTTAGAATAAATCTCGTATAATGTATCAGGATTAATCGTGTACTTCTGAGTTGGGATTTGCTCACATGGGTGTAAGCTAAATAACGAGCCATCATCAATCTTAGCAAGATTGTCATCATTAAGAATCCTGATATCTGTACATTCTTTATAATAGGGCATCCACCTACTCCAGTGTGCCTTCAATAAATCCAGATTCCTCGGGATCTCAAACACAAATACAGGTACCCCAGAGCCGATCGTTGCAATGGTCTTCATTGCCCTTACAGCAGCCGAATCAAGGTACTTCTTGAGATTTTTCAAAGGATAGTTTGTTTGAGGCTGAGAGCTTGAATACAATGGAAGAATGGCAGGATTTTCGATATCTAGTTTTAGGAAATCGCCAAGTCTACATCTCGTAAGTCGTCCATCGGCAATTGTTGGCATATCAATTAGATCGATATTGTTGATAGATCCCGGTAGATTTCCATGTACCTCATTAGCTGTCATCATTCTGCATTCAGGTATTTGTTCACAACGTCTGAAAGTATTAATGAGAAAGGAATTATAATGAGGATATCAAAAATAATTCGCTTGAACTAGCACTCATAAAGAAAGTGAATACCAGTGCTACAAAACCTAATATAAATAGTTGAGATGTTTTCATGTGAGCTATAGTCACCACTCAATACAATATGAAACATTTCCAAGATAAGATTGAAAAGATTTAAAATCTCCTAGATCATGATATCTGGTCTACATCAGAATGAGAGACTTATTGGAGGAAGTATAGCGCCGTCCGATGGATCGGAGCAAATGTGACCCAGGCATTATATAACAGCAAACATTGCCAGTGTTTGGGGATTAAAACTTTTTAACCCGAATGTAATGCTGTAAGGCCAAAATATAATTACTATAGTATTGGGTAAACATTTTCAGTTCGATAAACGGTTTCGCAAATGCATTTCAATAAATTCTTGTATATGTTATGAATAATATTGCAGTGCTCTTTCCTCAAAAAATCTTTTTGTGAAGTTCAATCAATTAAAATATTTATGTGGCTATTGGAATGCGTGCGAATGTGGAACTAATGTATATTTATACTTTGGCTGAACCTTCGTAGTAGTTTGCAACAACAGCTTTTCGATTTAGCGCCAGAATGACTTGGCACACGGTACGTCATGGTCATGTGATCTCGAAAAGTGCGCAAAAATAACAACACTTCAGAGGTTAACAGTCATACCTTAATAAATCGTGTTGTGTGGTGAAATATCACGAGCTTTGTAGTCAAAATAACAAAAGGGATGCTATTTGTGCTAAAAAACAAGATAATAAGAGATTCTTAAATTGGTTTTAGTACAACTTTAACAGTAATGTTGTATTCCAAGAAACTTATCAATTTAGAAATGCAAAATGTTCAATTTTGTTTTTCAATCATAAAAATGTCACCTGGAGAAAACAACGTTTACAAAATTATTTAAAACAGAGATAATTACTTATGTAATATTCGTTGGCATGTGTCAGTGAGTAAATAAGAAGAATATGCCTTTGATTAACTTGTTCCCAAATTAATTTGTTAAAGAGCGGTACATCTTAACGTACTTTTATCATCCCGCAGTATAACATTTCGAATACTTATTTCGCGAACACTTTGTCGAGAATAGATTCGAGATGTACTCAAAATCATAGAAAGTGCATTGCAACTGGGGTAGAATATTTTGAAGGAGATTGAATATTAGCATAAATCTACAAAACGTGAGTACTACTACAGTCTGTTGACAGATGACACTACTTTGTGTTAGAAATTTCCAAAACTGCTGCTTAGTACATTTTTTTGTAAAAAACGCTGCTCCACCTAACTTAATTATTGAAAATGTGTATTGACTCGGTGTCGCTACCAATAGGCCAATTTGTATGAAACTCAAACTGTTTAAATCAGACTTATTACCCTGTCCCTTCATTTTTGCTTCAACAAGTTTCGGACTGATTGAGCATGGGGATTTAAAATGAAATACTACCTTTACTTGAAATTGTTTATTTTAGGAATAACGTTCTTATTTGACAACATATAATTCTATTGCAAATACGTATTTATAAATATTAAACTTACTGATCATTGTTGTATGATTCCATGTTTCTGCTGAATTCTCATCAGTGTGACAAACCCATGTGACTGTTGTCTCCATACATGTATGTCATGTAAATACGAGGAGTGGTCAATAAATAATTGAGTCACAGATACCTTTTACAGGTGATTAACCATTTGAATTATCGTTCAACTCTGAAATTGAAGGGGAATGTGTTATGTATTTTTAGATACATTTGAGGCATTTTTGAAAAATATGACTTTTTGAAGAATATCAAAAATATGTGATGTCGCGATGATACGCCAATAGGTGGCAAAATATTTTTTTTCCAAAATTGTAATTTTTTCTCGCACATATACTTTTTGGTATGCTAAACTTCATTTGAACCACTTTTGTATGAGTTAATTCTTTTGCTTAATTATCTTCAACCAATTTTCTTAATTTATTCAAAATAAGTTATGGTATATGTTATGCCTAATGTGTAAATTATATATATGTGCGTTATAAATAATATTTAATTTGAAAGGAAGTCACAATTTCTTGAACAAAAAGTCGTTCAAATGTTGAGGTTGAGATCTAGATACTCGTATATTTTATCATGAACAATGTGGGGATTAAAGAATGATATGTGATATACTGCAAGCATCACTGTCGCCTGCGACATCTCCTCTTTCGTGACAAATGCTTGATTGGCCACATGTTGCATGACCAAACAATATTAAGTTACAATATGTATCTTTTATGTGCTTTTAGATTGAGTAATATCCAAAATAGCCTGGTATTTTAAAAGTGACATTTGAAAAATATGATACGCATTCAACTGAACAATGCCAAACTAGCTTCAAAAAGCATGTTTGGCGGAATTGTCGTACAGGAGAACCTGGATTACTTTCATTTTAATTAAGACTGTATGAGATATCTTGTATATTCTGTATATTTTTTATGTAAGACTGGTCTATAAGAAGCATGTTTGGAAAAAGGTCCATTAGTTATTGAGCACACTCGTATCGTTTTGCATACTAGTATTATATATCCCTAAATGTAATGTCATATCAAACTTTCAATTTGTTACCATATTGTTTGTAAACTATTTTTTGTTTTGGAATCATGTACACTCCCCGCCAAAAGATTGATAATAAGAAGTCTATTTGCATCACTTATCAACTCCTATTAACAGATTAATGTTTTGCGATTTAAAACTCATCTTTGTCATAAATCTCAGAACCATTGTAACTCAAGAGCAATATTGAGGTTCAAACATTGACAATCTTTGATAGTTTATTCAATGAAAACTAATTGAGAGGGTTGTATGTTCTTATTTGAATTGTGTAATGTTATTCAATTTCACTCCATGCAGACAGATCGCCTAAAATGACATTCGTATGATGCGAGACTCGACATTCACCAGGAAAGTAGAAACATTTTGTGACACATGATGCAAATTAATTTTTTAATGATAAAAAATAATGAATGACAGTCCTAGTCATATTAAGTTCTCTAAGTATGAGAATAGCAGGCCGTCTTGATATTCCAAGGTAACTTGTTCGAAAAGTGATGGCGGTGCTTGAAATTACGATGTAAAAAGATAAAACAGTAATGAAATATTTATTGCTTCATGGGTTACAAAATGTTTCTACTTTCCTTTCCTTTCTCGCGTCATACGAATGTAATTTAAGGCGATCTGGCTGCATGGGGTGTATTTAGTACTATTTACCATCTCAATGTAGCAATTGTTTTTATGATCTCCAAACTTCATAATACATTTAGAAATATAAATATTATGTGTATCGTATCATAACTTAAAAAATCATAGTGAGAACAAAACTACGTTTACATTGCATATTATAAAGTTAAGCATTTCATTCCACATTATATAGATATAAACTATATATGCATTTATAGATGTCAACCTAGATTTATTTGTAAACGAAAGCCTCTTTCCACTGAGAACCTATTTATTCTTGGTACTATGTAGTTTAGAAATCGATAGACTAAAATTGAATCATATGGCTATCGAAACAGTACCCTGTGTGCAGAGTCTAGTTAAACTGAAGACGGAGCTCTCTTTTAAGAAGTGAAGTCGAACGAATGCAAAGGGTATCGAAACAGCAAAATAGGCTCCAGAAGCTTTGATAATTTAATATGTCCTTTGGATTGTCTTCTTGAATCTTGGTTTATAGTTTTTCATAGCGTCGGGGCGTATGCGACAGTTCACTGGTTATATAAAGCCTAACTGATGTATATTACTACCATTAGATTTTATTGGTGAGGCAAATTGCCTCGCCAGTCCCATACCTCAATACGCCAATGCTATATGTTACCCTGTTTGTGTCAATAAGCAATGCGATAAGGAAGTCATATAATGGAAATATTGTAGCACAATTATTAAGTGACAGGTAATTCATTCTTCTCATATTCATATCATTGTTGCCATGGAGACAGAAATGAATAAAATATGAGTGTAATGTTCTTTTAGTCTTCATCCTAGTGTATCTAGATTGAACATTGACGTTTATACTATTTACCGTATGAATTCCTCGTGAATAAATGCAGCCCGCAGAGCCCATATATCAGTGTACGTATGTAATATATAATTAATATAGATATGAATTCAAAAGGTCTCCTCATGCAGAGAACCAAATGAGGACATATTTATTGATTACGATTGGTGCTGGACAGGATTGAGTCGGTCAAACTTAATCAGTGGATATATCAATTTCATAATGATATACAACGCGGGATATATATATCAACAAATTACTACATATCTCAGATTCAATCTAACCCGAGACCTAGAATAGCATTAATTTATTTATTAACTCTCTGACTCCATTAACTCGCAAAGAGAAACTATTAACAAGGGTAGAAATAATTATATAGTTTCTGTTCAGTTATTAATTAAATATATAACTGTTAATGAGATTGACATATATTGGAAGGTGATGGTGTATTTCACTGGATAATGTTAGGTATGATGTTTCCACTCTCAAAATATCGGATTATTGGAAAGACTGGTAATTTTGTACAAAAGTGGAAATTATGCAGCAGAATTCAATGACATAAATGAGGAAATGTCATTGTGGGACAATTCCCTTCTAAAGACCCTGCTCTTAAACCGCCATATTCCATTATCGGTGTGCATTATTTGTATTTATATTACAACAAAGCCGCTTATAGGATTTCTAAAAAGTTTGTATAGTGATATTAAATGGTGTACAGCAGTCATGTATAAGTCAATCGTGTTGCGCTATAGAATTGAGAATAAACACTTTAAGTAAATATGAAAACTTTATTGCCTTTGTAAAGGACGGTCTAGGGCATTCTGGGTAACGATATACACAAACTGTTGTTAAGTAGAGATCACATCGTAGGACATGCTGAGGTTCAATTGAGAACATGTTTATGGCAATAAACTTCACTGGAGAGACACTTGATAAAGTAATAAACAAATGTTAATATATACTCGGATTATTAATTAAAGACATTGTACACGATGGCTGTGTTTATAGAAGAGGGAAAGCGATTTGAAGAACTCTTGGCGACAGATAATTTATTTGTGGAATACTTCAATTCATTCCTAGCCCTTCCAACATTCCCAGATGCCTTGCTATTCAACAAAGAAACGAAAGGCTTTGAGGTGGCAAACGATGCCAGGAAACGCATCTCCAAGGAGATTAAAACAGCAATCAGAGAATCTAAGAGAAAATCTAGGATATACAGAGTGTCAAAACATCACAGCTTTAGTGACATTACTCTTATACCAATGGAAGATGAACCATGGCAGGAATCGAGGGAAATCGAAACATCGTTTACAGTTATGACTCTCAATAAAGAACAGGGTATAGAATGGATTAAAAAGGAACGTCTGCCAATGTTTCTTGAGAGTGAGTATTACTTGGAATACCGGCTGGCTACAATTCTCTCACAAGTAAAACTCAAACAAGAGCAAAACACGGGCGATTACAACGTAATAAAAATTGACTTTACTCCGATAACCAACGACGAAAAATCAGCAGAGGAAATAGCAAGGGAGGAGGATGAACGATTGACAAATCAGATAATGAAAGAGTGTTTTGTTTGTATGGGTGATACTCCCAATACGACCACTGATGCCTGGATGAGTCAAGCTAAATCTACGGTTAAGGCTGAACTGTCAACTACTCCTTCTACAACTGGAGGTATTATATCCGCAAAACATAGCAGTGTCGCCAGACCTAAAAGTACATCTAGTTTATTCGACAGACAATTACAATCAACTACAGAAAGTGGTTACGAAAGTGCCAATATAGACTTAACTAGCATTACATCCGATATTGAAGCAATGGACAGCAAATTATTTGAAGGGGAATCATTAAAACCAATAACACCCCGCCCTTCAGAAACCGTCTGTGTAATTAACAGTGCATCTAATGAAAACTTATCCAAGCCTTTGTCAACGGGTGTGGCTTATGCAACAAATGGGAAACAGGAAGATGAACCCCGCCCCGAGGATCAGGTGACCGCTGTAATATCAGATGATACATCAGTTGACGCTGACGACGTACATAGACGTTCAGTTGGATTTGCTGTGGAGGACGATATAAAATCAGATAGTGCTGAATCAGAAATGAGCATCCCATACACGGGAAGTGATCGGTCTAGTGCCCTAGACGAGGACTTATATACATTTAGAACAATCAGTGACCTTGGGGCAGTCATAGTCGGTACCGTCCTGAAGCAGAGCATTGCTGAGATAACAGAGGCGGATATCCACGATGTTTCCTTCAACGACAGTGTAAAGCAGACATTCCCTCATAAGAGATATCACAGCTACACAGTTGATATGTTAGCAGGTGCGGAGTGTTATGTGCTTCAGGATCCCACAACTCCAGTCCCTACACCAACACCTCCACCAAGTGATGATGAAGATGATAAACATCTCAGTGATGATGATTCTCTGCTTGACAGTGAAGACGACTTCGAAGAAATGGACAATTTCTTCAGAAGAAAAAAGAAAAGGCGATTCACATTGGATTCGAAAAAAGGAGTTGATGAATTTGGAAAATTTTTGGAAGGTACACGGGGTGAACGGAATTGGTCGTTTTGGCTAGATGTTGACAGGTGTCGTAATATTACAGACGCAGGGCAGCTTCAACAGTATCTAACTGCTATGAAAGAGATGTATCTCCGACATGGTGCCCCCCTAGAACTAACCCAGGAAGTAAAGGTAGCACTGGGCCTCACTGAGCCATCAAGCTGGACAGTTGAAAAGTTGTTAAAAGTGCAGAACAACATGGCAGAACCCCTGGTTCTTTATTGGGGGCCTAGATTTTTACTAAACCAAAAATGCAAGGTAAAGCCAGAGAAGAATGAACTATATAAACATCAGAAGTTGATATCTGGGAAAGATAAACCACGTGGATCTAGTGTTTATCCTAACCCACCTACTGCCACTATGCTACCTCTGCGCCCTAAGACGTGCATGCCTCGGGTGATGAGATCTGCACCTGAGAAATCTCTTGAGATCACTGATGCCTTTGAGCCAACATCTGAGATTTCAGTCTACTACAACAATCCCAATGAGATAACAAAAACCTCGATACCTCCTATAGGTGTAAAGAAAAGGATATATAACTTTAGTGCGTATCCTAAACAGGCTGTGCATAATATTACCAAGTTAAAAAATATGGAAAAACATGAACCCACTCCTCTGATTAAACAAAAACTTCCTAAAGAACTTATCACTCCCAAACTCGACGTTTCTTTAAAAGCGAGACCTGGCAGTGCGAGATCGTCAACTGATGATTCTAAACTCATGTCCAAGAAACCCAGAGCTCATTCAGCCATATCAAGGGCGTCGTCTGCTATTTCTTCTAACACCGTGCCCGTCCCTCCAAAAGAACCAGGCCCAAATAGACCTGTTTCGGGGAGAAGTTCTAGGCCTACAAGCAGATTATCTGCAAAGTCACTCGCTGACACCCATGATGATCTTAGCTCTATGACGTCAGCTGCCCATCCGACTTCACTCGCCGAACTTGAAGATGGCATTGAAAAGTCTAAACGAGACAAACGAGGTAGCGCAAGCACTATTCAGTCCGAAATATCTGAGTTCTTTGGTGGCCGACGTCTAGAAGGATTACTTCAAGCATTAAGCAGTGAGAAACTTGCGGGTAACTTCATCAAGAAGTATATTGAGAACACTGGAAATAAACTTTGGTTGAACTGTATGAACTTTTGGACAGAACTTCAAGAATACCACAAACTATTTTACGCTGATACCATTGACCCATTTACCCTAAAAAAGAAGGCCCAGCACATTCACGCCCAATACATTGTAAGACCGAGTCCGTATAATATAGGATGTGGTAAAGAGATCTCAGACGCTACCACTGCTCAGTTAGACCCGCCTTATGAGGAATTATTTGATTTGGCGGAGGAGTATTGCTTTAACACTCTATTTGAAGCTTGGTCACAAATGCTCACGTGTGATTTAACAACATATGAGAAAATCGAACTGATAGAGGTGAAAAGACATTTAGAAACTAAGAATAAATACGTCACAAGTTTACAAAGACGAGGTTTGATCAAAAGATCAGTGACCCCTGAAGAGCCGATGGAAGGTTATGAAGACCCTGTGTATGACGAAGCTTTACTAGAAAAGATCCCAGAAGAATTTCGAGAATTCAATCTTGAAAAGTTGGTTCACAATCGAATTGAGCTTGAGCATTATCGTGTTTTCTTGACAGAGAACTACGCCAGTATGGATCTCATGTGTTGGATGGATGTAGAGGCTTTTAGACGTATACCTCACACTGATGAGAGACGACGCAACATGAAGGCGAAGGATATTAGAGTGAAGTACATGACAAAGAAATACTTCTTTGGACCAAATAGTCCAGCTGGAAGAGAGGGCCAAGAAAAAGTCATGGAAGCTGGTGGGGGTTGGGGGAAACTTCTCGAAGACAGACCCCCTACACAATGTCTCCTGGAGATGCAAAAATACGTCAGAGAGAGGTTGGAGAAGAAATGGCTGCCGATGTTTCTAGCAACAGATGGCTTTGCTGAGCGTATGCATGAGCGGGCCACCATGAGCGATGCTGCAGAGGATATTCTCCTGCAAAGGAGGAAGCGATCACAAGCAGTCTGGAAGATGATGGAAAGTAAATGGATCACATCCTCAAAGGACATTATAACCTTCCGAAAGGCTTTGATGAACCCTATAACATCATTGCAGTTCAGAAGGTTTGCTTCAATTAAAGGAGACACTCTTGAAAACAACGTACTCTTCTGGCAGGAGGTACAAAAGTATAAAGAAATGTATCACACACATTCTGACGAACATTTAGTGAACCAGAAAGTTGTTGCTATAATCTC